AAATCAACTGCATGAAAGACAAGTTTGGCCAAGTTACCCTTTAAGAGGTTAACCAATATCCTTGCATATTAAAACCCCATAACTGTTCAAATAAAAGCTGGAGTTTCGTTATGTACCAATGTTGGTTTCTTTTGATAAACATTTCATGGTAGCTTTATAGTTAACAGAAGGGTAAAATGAGATGGGAAATCATCTTTATCCAAAAAATTTGAATAGCAACTTAGCTTTGCTAGAAATAGAGGGCAGTAAATTTTCTGTTTATCTAATCTATAATGAAGCAAAAATTTATCTCTACCAAATTGTTACATTGTTATTTTTAACCACCTGCAGATTATAGTCAGACCAAGCTACTGGCACACACATCACTTTCTCCTAGTACTCAACATAACCAGATTTCGACACAAAATGTTGAGAAAATTTTGCATCCTAGCTCGAACAAAACGTCGGAATCCGACCTACATGATTTTTGTAAACAAAAGCAGCTCGGGTTTGCACACTTGGCATTAGTTGGCGCTAAAACCTTTGAAGCTGTGTTCCACGCGTTTTGTTACAATTTTCTTAGTTTTGGTGGTTTTGTCCTGTTTTAAGATAAAAAACATGGGTCCTAAGAGTTTTTTGAAAATCATCATAAAAAAACTGGTTAGCTGTGTTATCGACATTGATTCTAATTTAGTAAACCCTTCCAGCCAACAGCAGACCACATTAGACGTATTTTTTGAGAGAAAGCCAGCTGGGTCCTAGTGAAGAAAGGCAAAGGAAAGAAAACAAGGCCCGTAAAGCAGCTACCAGTTGATTTTATGGAAGGGGATTCCCCTTCCAAACACTCACTCTCCACGTGTCGAGATCCAGATCCTCAATCTCAAGGAATGGGCCATCCTGCAGTTAAGAACTTTGTAAATATTCTTTAATTATCTAACTCTGAACTTACTTTGAAATTTATGTAATGTTTTCTATAAAAAGGCAAGTTTTGGGTAAAAGCAGTGGTTAAGAACGGATAATCCGTTTTCTTACTGGAAAAATTGATTTGGAACATACTGCAACGAATCCCGCCGCGCCTTCTACAATGGAATAGCATGGATGTCCGGGACTCTACGGTAGATCCCTTATAACCAAAAGCAAGACCCTGAACAGCCATACTATCAGGCAGAAACCATTGTGATTATACACGATCAAACTTGCTATTTGGCCAGTCGACCTCCCTATAGATACCTGAATTTGTACTGGGTGCTATAGCACCTTAGTTGTTCCATGGTAGATTTCTTCCCTGGCTTTTTAAAATGTTAATGGGAGGCATTCTTCCACTGACTTGCACTTTTTTCTTTATACTAATACGATCTTACTCCTACCACCTTAGTGATTCATGTTTTCATGGTTTTCTGTGGGCTTCCCAGCTGTGAAGCATAGGAGTGGACATATAATAACGAGTATTAACAGAGGAAATGGGCAATAAGGAGAGGGAGGTGAAGTCTGGAGTAAATAATAATGGAAGCACTGGAGCTGATTGTAATTACATAGCTCTTTTTTTGGGGGGGGGAGGAGGCAATTCAACCAATGGGGAGGGAAATGTTCCAGGATGGATGGTGATTGTACAATCCCCCTTGATATGATTGAACTATTCAATTGTATTTGTAGATTATGTGCCAACAAAACTGTTGGGTGAAAAAGTTATTTTCCCTGAATTTGTCATTTATATTTTTCAAAGATTTTCATAGTAATGCTATTAAGATATTATCAGAATATTGGAATTTAAGATCAGATGTGACTTTGTGTGGGTATGAAACACCACTAAGTCAATTCTTCAGTCAATTTTAATTTCCTTAAGTTTTTTTAAGATCATTTTATTGAGAGCTCTTACAGCTTTAATAACCCATACATTGATTGTATCAAGCATATTTGCACTTATGTTGTCATCATTTTCTAAACATTTACTTTCTGCCCTTGGTATCAGCTTTTTACCCTCCCTCCCCTAATTTTCTAGTTTTAAGGATATAATGACTCTGAGAATTAGCAATTTGTAGATCACTGGCTTTGCTGTTGCTCCAGGCAAATAAGACATTGCAAACTTTTTAGACCCCACGAACTATGCACACTAGTAAGCAGAACCAATGACCAGATATTAGGCCAATGAACTGAGATGTCCCAAGAAACCTTGACCCTAAATCTCCAATCAATGAACCAAATCATGTGGTGGGCTTCCGTAACTACCTTTTTGTTGTAAATGTAGTCACACAACCTTTACTGTTCCAGCTTTTAAAGGAGTATATCTTATGACAGCAATTAATCTATACAACCTTATCCTTAATCAAATGTTTTTTCCATCACTGCTTACTCCCTTTCCTCCCTTCCTGTCCCTGGTAAACCACTAAAAACTTTGGTCTCTATACATTTGCTTTTGTCTGTTTTATAAGCCCCTGAAATTCGAGAATTTTTAAAAAATCGTAAACGGAAAAAAAAAAATCCCTAGGTCTTTATAAACACCAAATAATTTAGCTTAACTAGTAAAAAACAGCTGGGCTCTTTCCCTGTTGCCACTGAGCTGTGTGGAGACAGAGGCTCAAATGTATTCAAGTTTCAGTCTCACCCATAACCCATGGCTGTGGCCTGGAGGTTCGTGGACTTTAACCTCTTGCTTTGCGAGATGCTGAAGACTGCTCTTATTCATGATGGCCTCACATGTGTAATTCTCGAAGCTTCCAAAACCTTAGACAAGTGCCAAGCCCACTTTTTTTGTGCTTGCATCCCACTGTGATGAGCCTATGTATGTTACATTAGTGCAGGCCCTGTGTGCTGAACACCAAATCAAGGTTGAAGTCAACAGGAAATTAGGGGAGTGGGTTGGCCAATGCATAACTGACAGAAGGAAAACCCTGAAAGGTGGCTGGTGGCAGTTATGTGCTTGTTAATGACTACAGCAAAGAACTTCAAACTCAGGATTAGAATACTTCAAATGAAAATAATAAGCAAACAAAATTTTGCTAATTGTTAAAAAAAAACAAACCAAAAACTAAACACCACCACCACGACCACCAAAACCAGCTGGCTTCAGCATTATACTTTTTTATTATCTATCCATATGGTGCAAAATAACAATAGTAATTGAAAGACTAGCTGCAAACAGTAGAGGGTAGTGTGCTTATGTAAATGAGGGAAAATGCAGAAAGGAGGTTGAGAATGTCTGCACAACTCGAATGCAATCAGTGTCATTGAACCAACTGTACATGCAGGAATGGCTGACCTGCTGTATATTTTGCTGTGGGTATTCTCAACACCAAGTTAATTAGCTGAAAAAATAATTCATGCAGCATGCTTTGATGTGCTGCTCCTGTAGCATCTCATGGAATAAGTATATAAAGCTCTGATGAAAAGAATTCATCTAATCCTGGTATTATTTGAATTAATGGGCCATAAAAACAACCCAATTCAAAATTCTGAGTATTAGTATTTGCAGCAACTGGGGCTTTGGAATGTTTTAAACCAAGCATTCATATATAGAGTAACATTAGATAAAGGAACAGTGAATATATAAACATTTTAAAAACAAACAAGTTAAAAGATTAGAGCATTAGATCAGACCTTAAAAATCTCTAGTTTTATTTTTAACAAACACAACTGACGCTTGACTCACAGGCTTTATTTACATTTGTCTACAGCATCATTTCCTTATGAAATGAACTAGTACAGTTTAGTTAAACCAAATGAAACCATAATCATCTGAATTGTCTGTGAACTACTATTAGCTAAATTTATAACTTTGCATTTGCTTAGTACAGCCAAAGTTTTAAATACAGAAAGCACAAGAATAAACCATGTAGAATCTAGAAGATATTTGATCTGGGCAATTTAGAAGGTGGACTTTCAAGAAGTCTGAGGCACCATTACAAGAGAGTTCTTGTGCAACCTACAGTAAATATAGCAAAAAAATAAGGCATAAAAAAACCTGGGGAAGAGTTCATTGTAAAAATACTATTAAAATAGTTCTAAGATATTTTAAGTTTTCATCTTTAGATCAGTTGAGAAAACACTCATTTTAAAATAAAGAACACATATAATTTTGTTTGGTCTACTAGATATCCTAAAATGTCTTTTCATTTAAACTGCAGCAGACATTAGTGTTATGGAATATTGGGGAAAAAAATCACCATCCAATGCAAAACGTCCCGAAGCAGATTGCTGATTTCCATTAATATACTTACCTTGTATCGTCACTGAAGATACTGTTACGAGAAACCTCTATTTTTAAACAAGAAGATAAAATGGAGCTTGTGACCAGATTATAATTTCGAGAACTAAACTTGAAAGCATTTTAAGCCATAAGTAACTCTAAATGAATGAGAACAATAATGGTTTTCTGGTTACATCATAAGCAAACAGAACTCATACTTGTATTTAAGGACATTTTATGTAAACATTTCAAATGTTCATTTAAATTCACAATTTCTGTTGGCCTTTCACCCAAAGAGAAATATACTTCAGATTTCTTCAATTTGCTATTTATAAGCAACTATGATTTCATCTTGTTTACCCCATCACATGC